AACACGTGCTCTGATACCACTCTGTCACGCCCAAAACTCGCCCCTGTAGGTTTAGCACTGTAACCGGCCAGTAATCCGTGATTACCAAAGGCCTCTGAACAGATTATCAAGTAATAAGGGGCTGCGGAAGCAATAATACAAAATAAACAAGGTTCAATGAGCTGTGATAACGTACATGGGACAGAACATTTTAAAACTTACTTATAGATATATAAGCATGCCAGTCCAGATACACAATATTTACAAAATATTTACAGAAGTGAACTTCCCAAGATCTGACTTTACAAACAGTTACAGAGACTAGCATGAAATACAAAAACAGCCATGGCATTAGACTTCGATCGGAATCTCCTCGGAAGGCACAACGGTTGGCTGACAAAAACAGTACAAAAAGCCGTCAACTCTGGCCCTAGTCATATGCCGGCTCACCTACATACATAATATAAACTGTGAGCGAAAGCCCAGTGAATAATAATAGAGTAAAGGGTTATATGAATGATGCCCAGCACAAGTTAAAATCCATCATTTAAATCAGAGCATAATCAGACTTCAAAACAGAAACAGATTCATATACATTTTCATATTCAGATTTAGATCATATACAGAAATCATAAGTCATGCGTAAGTATACGTGATACATCCATAAGCACTAACAGAGTAGATACAGAACAGATGCAGACATGTGAGGGTTACGAATAACCAGTTCCATAAAGGAACCTCCGGATTTGGGTAACAGAGAATATACATGCTGAGCTCCATGATGGAGCCTCCGGTACGGGTAACAGAGTGCAGACAGATTAAGTTCCAAGATAGAACCTCCGATACGAGGTCACAGCCAACACATATCACATGATACTAAGGATGTCACGAATACATATCAGAAATTGGATAATCATTCATTGTGCATAACATAACATTTCAGAAAACAATTCTTATTTCATCATACAGAAAATAAATAAGGTTGAACGTAGCTTTACTATGTTATTACTCACAGTTGGCCTTGAGAAAGACAGACAGAGCAGATTGGTCAAACGATACGCAACACGTGACCTACATGACACATAACAGATACACACTTGAAACACACGTTTTAATTGTACAAAACTAATTTTGTTGGCTCTTAGTGTGTTTCTAATCTCTTATCCTCATTATAGAGTCTTAAACATGGCCTAGGAATGCTTAGGGTGGAATGAGGATGCAAAGATGCATTTTAAGACACTTTTCAAAATTTTGCTGAAACAGGGGTCCTGCTCGAGCGTGGCCTTCTACGCTCGAGCGGACATGCAGACAAAAGGAATCCGCTCGAGCGTGGATTACTCCGCTCGAGCGGACTGCAAGCTACAGTAAAAGTACTGGATGCATGAAATTCATGCTCGATGGGTGCTCGATACCCGCTCGAGCGTGAGACACAAGTCCTCGCTCGAGCGTGCATTACCCCGCTCAAACGGACTATAAACACAGGCAAAGTACTAGATACACGAAATTCCCGCTCGAGCGTCATTTTACCCGCTCAAGCGTACTGCATGAACTCAGTATGTACGCTCGAGCGTGGAGTTTCCCGCCCGAGCGTGAGTCCAAAATCTGGAATTTCTAAATTTGAACCTCAAGCTCAAAACTCAACTACAATGCATCAAATTTGATCCTTTGGGCTAATTTTCTGGAAAACTCTTGTAAACTCATAATATGACATGTTTTGAAGATCAATTTTGTAAAATCAAAGCCCAAAGGTAGTCAATTGAACACAATTTCAAGGAAAACTTCAAGAACAAAACAAGAGCTTACATGCAAGTATTCATTTTAAATCCAATGCTCTAAAACATGACCAAATGTAAGATTGAACTCAAAATCATGCTGAACTCATGGACTATAACTAGAATAAGAACTTGCATGCAAGGATTTCCATGAAAACACTTCAAAATGCTAAGATATGAACATGCATGCATGATACAAGCTTCAATTCAACATTTTCAACCAATTCTTGTCTTAAACTCTAAACTTCCATGAACCATGCAAGAATTAAACTTAAATACACAATTGAAAGGGAAATCTCCTACCTTAAACCTTGAATTCCAAGTCTAGGAGCTCAAATATGCAAAGCCTCTTCAATTCTCCTAAGTTCCAAGCCAAAACTCTAGATGAATTCAACCTCCTACCTCTCTCTCTCTCTCTCTCTCTCTCTCTCTAGTCGGTTATAACAAGGAAGATGGCTGAGGAAATATGTTAAAGCTAACATAAGGAAATCAAACAAATGGTTCATGGAATAGTCCACTAAGTGGCGTTCTTGTAAATAAGTCTAACTTTGATAATTTAGCTTATTTAATCCAGTTTATTCATATCAAATCAAATTTCAACTAAATTTACCATAAAATTCTATAAATCCTAACTAGCACATAAATCAAGTCATTTTCTGATTCGGACGCCGATAAGGCTTTCAATTCGCAGTTTAAAGTGAAAGATATGAACAGATCATTTTATGTCAAACAAATAGAAGCACGTAAGTAATGCAATACACATGCATATTAATTCCAAATCCTTCCTAGATTACTATTAAGCATAATTAATCATGAATTAGCATTAATCGGAGATCGGGGTCATTACAGGAGCCTTATTCCCATCACAACTTTTAATAGCTATCCACACTTCCTCTTCAGAAAACTGAGCTTCAAGACCAACAACAGTCCCATCATGACCAATAGATTTGAAATGCCCAAGCAATTTTGGTCTCACCTTCCAATCTTCAAAGAACACCTTTTTAAAGTGCAGAAATGTTTCTTGTTTCACGCTACTTGGTTCCTCAAGTAGCATTCCCCCCATTGATATTGAACTTAACAAATTCCTGTTTTGCCTCATTAATACCACTACATGAAAGAATCTTGTATTCTTATCCCTTTTCATACACCAGTCCAACCTGGATTTCTGAAGCCAAATCCATTCAATCTTTTGATTTAAAGCCCACACCTCCTTCCTAAGATCCCTTCTACGACCAGCCTCAAAGTCATTAAGATCTCTAGATTCTTCCACTAAGTCAAGACTATGAAGCTCTTCCTCAGATGATTTAAGAGAATGATGGGCATTACCAAAGACCTCTACATTCTATCTTTTTAATGACGAACGGAGATTCCTAACTTTAGCTTGGATCGCAAATCCAGCCCAACCTAACACATCAAGCTCCTCCCAGGACTTCTTCACAATAGATTGAAGCTGGTGATGTAGGTCCAAGCATTCAAAAAAGGAAATGATCTTGGGCCCCAATCCTGACCATCCTCCATTAATAAAAGTGGACTATGATCAGACACTCCTCTAGGAAGGCCCCATAAGCAGAATTTGAATCTTTCCAGCCACTCGACAAATAACAAAATTCTATCAATTCTGCTCCACCTACCCCTATCACTTGAGTTGCTCCACGTAAACTGCCTGCCTTGCATAGGAAGATCAGAAAGTTCCAAATCTTCAATAAACTCATTAAAAGCCCTTATTCCTCTATCGACTCTTAAGCACCCTTTCCTTTCCCCTATGAACCGAATTTCATTGAAATCCCCCCATATACATCATGGCGATCTGAACTTTGGTTTTAAGTTTAGACAAGACCTTCCAAACATGATTCATTTTATCCACATCATTAGGAGCATATATATTAATCAACACACAACTAAAATCAGGAAAAACCATACCTGATAAAAGAATGAAGCTTTTTGAACAGCAGCACTCGGAGATAGAGAACACAGAGGGTTTCCAAATACACAAAATACCACTTGCCAACCCAGTTGCATCAACTGACATATAGTCCATATCATCGAATGGCCAGATAGATCTCACTACCTCCACTGAATGTTTAGACTTCTTTGTTTCTTGAAAAATACCATGTCGATATTCCTTTCTTTAAGCAAGGTTTTAATTTTCCTCCTTTTACTGGGCCTCCCAAGACCCCTAATATTCCTGGATAAGAGCTTCATGAAGATTAGTAAGTACACCCTAGCCTCCATTCGGTATAACCTACACAGGAGCATTGCCCTCCCTACTCACTGCATTCCTTGCATCATCTTCCTCCATTCTAACAATTTTCCTCAAGGATTCCTCTTCCGTTCTATCAAAAATAATGCCTAAAGCTTTCCCCACATTAATTTTTTCCTTTGCCTCCGCCACGAAAGGATCAAGCCTTTGAGAGCTCTGCCCTTCTGATTTCGACCGTGAGAGCACTGAAGCAGTAACTTGAAACACCGGACCTTTGACCCAATTCTTCACAACCGATGCATCGCTATTCTGTAACCCCCTTCCTTGGAGGCGATACTTCCTACCAATCCTCACTCTAACTCTTTTCTGTGCAGCTAAGGTGTTCCTGTTGACAATGGGAGCCCCAGAAAGACAGGAACGCCTATTTGACTCTACCCCAGGAATGTCCACACACTCAATGGGTTATGGGTCTGAGGTAATTAAACGATCCACCTCCTAGGCCTAAGAAATGACCCTACCATTATGGGCCTGCCCCACAACCTCAGCAACTGAAATGGGTTTTTCTATGACATTACCCATCAGGGTTTCTTCCAGAACAACCTAAATGTTTATACCAGGCCTATCAGTCACTGGCCTACTAAGACTTTTCATGTGCCATATGTAGCAACCCCTTCCCCTTCGCTTACACTGACCTCATTACACTATTGGTGAGTAGATGGCCAGCCAGTCACCACATTAACTGCGCACGCCCCAGCCTGATTTGTGTTCCCCAAATCTCTATTCATGGTTTCCTTCACTAAAAATAGAAACGAATCGTTTGTCTTTCTTTCCACCTTTTTTAGCCCACAATTTTCCATCTCCACTCTTTGCACAAATGCCACCTCATCTTTATTTGCCACATCATTATGGACAGCAACATCCACATCAGCATCATCTTCCTCCAAGCTAGCGCCCTCCTTTTCTGCCTGCTTGTCACGCATGTTAGAGCTAACACAGTCATGCATGGTACACATACAAATCTCATTCACCTCCTTGGTAATCAATATTTGCTACTCGCAAATTCTAACTGGGAAACTTCTATCTTTGTATTTCACATATACAATTGTATTAATGGGATCCATAAAATTGGTAGCAACTTTAATTCTCCCATACTTAAATGATATCTGATTAGAAGTTTCTTCATCAATCTCAGTCACCTCCTCCCCATAACCTTCTGAGTTTCATAAAAGTATCATTGTTCCAAAGGTTAAGTGGGACACCATAACAGCTTAACCATACCCCTCACTCTTGCCCAAAGTACCAATTTTGCTCCCCTATAGACACAGACTCATACCAATCCTTCAAGCATTCGCTGAGTAAGGCTTGATTCTCTTTAAGGTGGTCCACTAATGTGAATGAAGTATAGCCAATCTACCTCCTCATTCCCTTATTACAATATCCTTAGAGCCTCTTTCAAGAACCGCTTTTTTTAACTCAGGAAAAGCTTGGAGGCATTTCAACTTAACAACAAGGCTATCATAAAGCCAACCATTCCCTACTTCATTAACATATACTACATGACTCATCCTCCCACTATTGGGATCATCGTATAAAGCTGCAACATAAGATTTTTGTCCAAACAACCTCTGTGTAAGAACTCGACATGTTGTTGTTGTAACCCGATCCTCATTCCTCCCTTCGACAATGTTGACCCATTGGTTCTTCTTAAACGGTTTTACTAATTCGTCTTTTCCAAACTCTACTACCTTGACCTTAATTGCCTTGTCGTCACACCACACCCCATTAGTTTTTTGAACCGCCATAGCTGCTGCAACTTTGCAATCATACCTGACGAAACCAAATCTTGACTTTGTTGCTTTCCGTATTTTATTTGGAATGAACACATCTCTGATGATTCCAAACTTCATAAACAGAGAATGAAGACCTTTTGGACTCATAGACCAAGGAAGGTTATCCACAAAAATAGTGTACAACCCAAATCTACCATCCTTAGAGCTCCTTAGAATCTTTTTCCCCCTTCCATAAAGAATTGGCTTCCATCCTCCTTTTTCTCGTTCCCTTACAGCTCCTTTCATACGATTCATCAGATGATCTAATGTAGCCCCAACCTTCCTTGTTATTATGTTTATTATTTTTTATCAGCAAAGAAAATGAAATTTATTAGTAGACAAAAACATACAATTGAAAAGGCAAGGGCAAATCATTGTCAATACATGACATCCCTACTAAGTTGATTCTCAGGAACACAGCAGAGTTACCAGTTCTAGCAGATACACCGCCTCCATAAAATACAACCAAAGCCAGAACATTGACAGCAGAAGAATAGCAACCGCTAACACATTAGCACCAGCCTCACAAACATATCAGCCACCTCAATGAAATGCAGATTCATTTGGAACAAAATCTAACCAAGAGGCACACAATAGAGCTACCAGTTCTAGCAGATACACAGCACAAACCAGCAAAAGACAGATAGATACACAGCATAACCTAGATACACGGCATAACCAGTAAACCAACAACCTAGCAGACACCAAAATGCCAGATAGATACAACACTGAGACAGATAAATACACAATCAGCAGACAGATACCCAGCCAGAATTGAAACAAGTGTTACCCAAACCAGTAAACCACCAAACCAGCAGATACTAAACTGTCACCCAAAACACCACAAACAACAACAAGCAAATTACAGACCAGCTCACAACACATGGTGGCAGACCATCAGGTGTAGCCCAAACTAGCACAACCTAAGGTGAAGCAGTTGGCCACCAAACTAGCAAATTAGCAGACCAACAGAATCCAAAATTCAAAAAGCCCCCAAAACACCCAAACAGCAGCCAGCATATGACAGAACAAACCTCAGCTGAAGTCCTTAATCTGTTCTAGATTGTTGATTAAGCCCATGACAAAGTACATGATCCCCTTTGATGAAGCTTTAACCCAAAGAGCAAATCTAACCTTAATAGTTTCACATAACTCAGACCCACTAGGCTGGACTTCGTTAAATACACAATCATTTCCTAACTTCCAAATGGACCAGAGAACAATAGAAGGTAAGGCCCTCCACAACCTCTTAACTAATTTTTTATGATTCCAGCCTAACCACCATTGGAATAAGCAATCAATAGACTTTACACCACCCACAAACACCCCACCAATGCAGCAAATCAAACCAAACTTTCCATGAAAATGGACAGTGTGGCAGATTCATTTTCACTTTTGCAAAAAGCACACAAGACAGAAGCACTACTATTGAGGGCACCAACATGTTGTAAAAAAACCCCTTATTTTAACTCTATTCCTTAAAGCCAACCAACCAAAAAATTGAACTTTAAGGGGAATACCATTGTTTCAAATAAACTTACAAATTTTGATATGAGGGCCCAAAAGGGAATCACTGAACCTATAGATATCAGATACCTTAAAGTTACCACTAGTAGAACCATTCCAAACAGGACAGTCTTCAACATCAAGACTTAGAGAAGGGGTCTCCCTCAATGCTGCCACCAGCCTATTGACCTCTGCTTTCTCCCAATCATATAACACCCTTCTGAAGGCAAAGTTCTACTCCACCAAGCTGGATTTCCTCTCTGAAAAATAAGACAGTGTGCCCTCCTTGTCATTTGACAAACTAAAGAGTCTAGGGAACTCATCTTTAAGACACCTATTTCCAACCCACTTATCAAACCAAAACTTAATTCTATACCCATTTCCAACCTTTATCTGAAATTGCCCCATAAAGAACTCCACCAGAGATTGATTATGACCTGCAATTGAAAGAACATCTCTCCAGATTCTAGATTGTCTAGATGATGAGTGCACATGTGGTATCTAACTAGCCTCCTTAATCATGTACTTACTGCACACAAATTTTCTCCATAGAGCATTTACTTCACTTCCAAATTTCCACCACCATTAATAAGTAAACTTGCATTGACATCCTTAATTCTCCTAGTCCTCAGTCCTCCTTGATTCATATTTTTGGATACTTCCACCCAATTCACCAAATGAACCTTCCTCTTTAACCCATTCTCACCCTATAGAAAAGAAGCTTCAAGCCTTTCAATTTCAATAACCACTTCGCTAGGCATTTTGAATGAAGATAGATAATAAATAGGAAGGCTAGACAGTACAAACTTAATCAAAGTTAATCTACCCGCAAAGGAGAGGAGCTTTCTCTTCCACCCAGCCAACCGAGATTTTACCTTATCCAAAACTAGCTTCCAAGTTGATTTCCTCCTTGGATTAGCACCTAAGGAAAGACCTAAAAATTTGAGTGCAGGCCATGAACCTTGTAGTTTAGAATATCAGCGAAAGAAACCAAAGTTTCCTCATCCACACCCACATCCACACCACACACCACACTCTTGTGGAAATTTATTCTCATTCTAGACAATATTTCAAAACTTCTTAAGATCCTCTTTGTGTGCACTATTTGATCCATATCTTTCTCACAAAATATAATGAAATCATCAGCAAATTGGAGATGGGATATCACTACTTCTTTTACCCCCACTTTTACCCCCTTAATAATGTCTTTCTCATAAGCTCTGTTCATTAAGATATTCAAACCTTCAGTCACTATGTTGAATAGAAAATGAGAAAGAGAATCACCTTATCTAAGACCTTTTTGTGGAGAAAACTCCTCCGTTGGTGAGCCATTCACTAAGACAGACAGCCTTGCTGTAGAAATACATTCCTGCATCCAAGATATCCACTTAGATCCAAAACCAAAATTAGATAACATAGAGAATAGGAATTCCCAATTGATTGAATCATAAGCTTTCTCAAAGTCCAGTTTGATAATAATACCTTTTCTTTTAGATTTTTTCCATTAATCAACTATTTCATTAGCAATAAACACCCCATCTAATATACTTCTCCACACCCCATTCAATATACTTCTTCCCCCCAAGAAAGCTGATTGTGTTTCCCCAATAACTGCAAGAAGAACTTTCTTGAGTCTATGAGCCAGAACTTTAGAGAGAATTTTGAACAAACTACGCACCAAACTAATAGGTCTGTAATCAGACAGACCGCAGAGATTATCATTCTTAGGAATAAGGGTGATAAATGAACTGTTAATCCCATAAGGAAGCTTGCTAAAAGCATGAAATTCTCTCAAGAAATGCATAACCTCATGATGAATTGACATCCAGAATTTCTGAAAAAATAGGAGATTAAACCCATCCGGGTCTGGAGCCTTATCACCATTGCACTCCTTAACAGCTGCCCTTACTTCCTCTTCAGTGAACACTGCTTCAAGATCATGAAATACAGAACTTGCTTGCACTGACTTAAACAAACCTCCCAGAACTGGTCTTCTTACCCAGCTTTCAATGAATTGCCTCTTGAAATGTTGTAAGACTTCATACTTTACCTTCGCTGGCTCCTCAAAGACCTCACCTTCAACTGTAATGGAATTAATTGAATTTTTACTCCTCTTTCTGCTAGCCATAATATGAAAAAACTTAGTGTTTTTGTCCCCATTGATGATCCAATTTACTCTAGACTTCTGTTGCCATAGCTATTCTACCATTCTACTAAGCTTCCAAACTTCACCTCTTACTTCTCTTCTTCTAAACCTTTCAGCCTCCTCTAGAGGTCTACCTTCAGTCAGAATGTCCAGTTCAACCAACTCCTCCTCTGCCTTCTTGAGTTTTGTTGATAGATTTCCAAAAACTTCAAAATTCCATTTTTTCAGCTCCAACTTCAGAATTTTCAGTTTCTGAAACAAAACATACCCTGCTCTCCCAATAATTCTAGATTCATGCCAAACCTTGTCCACGAATAAGGGAAAACTTGGAAGAAGAGTCCAGGCATTAATGAACCTAAAAGGCTTAGGTCCCCAATCCCTTTCATCATCCATTAGCAAAATAGGACAATGATCAGAAAATAGCCAAGGAAGACTCCATAATTTGAAGTTAAACTTCAACATCCACTCCGGATTAAGCAGAATTCTATCTATCCTCCTTCATTTCTCCCCATCTTGAGCATTGCACCATGTGAACTTCCTGCCAAGCAATGGTAAATCATTTAACTCATAACTCTCAATGAAGGAATTTAGATCCAACATCCCCTTATCTCTTCTAGAACAACCCATCCTCTCACTAATATTCCTAATCTCATTTAAGTCACCCCCCAAGCACCATGGTTTTGGGAACTCAGATTTTAACTTAAGCAAGGATTCTCAAAATTTACACCTACTACTCACCGCATTTGGTGCATACATATTCAAAATAGTACAATCAAATGTATTCAACAAAGTACCAGAGAGGAGAATAAATCTCCTACTGCTACAACAATCCACCAATTGAAAAAAATCTAAGTCCCATATACAAAGTAGACCTCCAGCAGTCCATCAAAACCCACAGCCATAAAATCCATGTTTCTCCTTCCCCACAATGCTCTGACTTCATTCTCAGAAATTGAAACTTTCTTAGTCTCCTGAAAAAGCACAAAATCAGCCTTACTTTCATATATGAGCTTTCTAATTCTTCCCCTCTTCTCTAACTTCCCCAACCCTCTAACATTCCAAGACATCAACTTCATATGTAAACTGTTGTAGCACCAAAATCCCCATAAAGAGACTTAAAATTGCTATTATTTCCTCTTCTTTTTCCTCCTTTCTCTGTCAACTAATTCCACAGCAACCATCTTTTCCAAAGCTTCAGACTCTCTACCTTTATAATTGATGCCCAGGATTTTCCCCAGCTGAATGTTTGCTTGTGCTTCATTGAGGATGTGACTTCTACTGCAAGAGTTACCCTCATTTGAAGCAGAGAGTGACAAAGCTGCCGCAGCAACCCTAAATACAACACATTTAGTGGTGGACTTACTAGATGATGTACCTTTATGACCATACAAACGAGCTAGAGATGAGTACCCTTTCACCTTTGTAATGGATTTTGTTGCAGTAGAAAATCTGACCTTACCCTTACCTTTCTTTTTTGACTTCTTCACACCAGATATACTATCTATCACTCTATCTGGGTTTGTTTGCACCTGGTACATGTTGGGCCTGATAGAGGCCTAATTAGAAATAGAAGTTGACTGTGTAGTTGGGCCCCTCACCACTAAACCCATTCTGCTATTCTCCACTGGATCAAGGATATGGCCCAAGTTCACTTCCAGGTTATTACCAGGCCTTTGGCCAATAGACCCACTTAAACACCCAACAAAACCAGGTGTAACTAGTTGTTCCTCATCCCTTAGATTATCATCATTAGCCTCTAAGCTATGCTTTGCAACCGCCATCTCCATACGCCCCTCAACCACCAATATGTTCCCCACGCCACTTTGGGTCTCAATGTAACAACCCTCACCTTACTCTTGCCATATTTGCATACACTCTTGCATGGTCTTGCTGTTTATGTTAATTTAAAGGTTTTATCTTGGCTTGAATTGCTTAAGTTGCTTGCACGATTTTATTCCTTGCTTAGTGCGTGTGCGTAGCCGAGATCATCTTGAGCTTAGTCCGCCTTTGACCCTTGTACTTAGAACCATCTTGAGGTCTTGTTCAACCCCATCTTCACCTCGGGCATTCTTTGCCGAGATGTTCCGCACTTGAACCTTGTCCGCAGGCAGGTATGGCCTAGGCCGAGATGTGGCGCACCCCGGCCAAGGTGTGGCACAGCTTAGTCAAGTGTCGTCCTCCCTAGCCGATGTTTTTCTATCCTGTTGCTGGATCCTTGTTTAGAGCCGATGTCATCTCTTTGCCGATGTGTCTTGCCCGAGCTTGCTGCATACGATTTGTCAGAGACTTGTCTTGTCTATCAATCACCTTTTTGGAGCTGAACCAACCCGATAATGCCGCGTGTCCGAGCTGTTTGTTAAGGCAGCCGACAGACCTTGAAACAAATCATTTCTTGTCTCAAATCTTTGTTTTAGAGAGAGAAGCTCTAGAAAGGAGGAAGAAGAGTCCTTGAGTGAGAGTTATCTCCTAAGCTTGATCTTTGTGGCTTGAACCGTTAGATCCGAGTTTTGAGGTTAGAATCTTGATCTCCTTTGGTTGTTCTTGCTGAATATCTAGCTGCATTGCATGATCGGATCTGTTTTGCATGTCATGCATCGTTTTGAAGTTGGTTTTAGAAAGAGAAAATGGTTTTTCATGTGTTCTTGAACAAATGAAGAGAGAAATAGCCGAATTCGTGTCCCAGTGTTTACATTGTCAGCAAGTGAAAGCAGAACATCAAAGACCAGCAGGACTTCTTCAACCTTTGCCGATCCCCGAGTGGAAATGGGAACATATCTCCATGGATTTCGTGATTGGTTTGCCGAAGACACCGAAGGGTATGGATTCAATTTGGGTTGTCGTTGATAGGTTACATCTATTCACAGAGCATGTGTTGTTGTGATTAAGAATGTTGAATTGCTAGTAGATCTAATGCCTCTAGACCTAGCTCATTTTGATGTCATACTGGGAATGTACTGGTTAGTTGCAAACGATGCATCTATTAATTGTGTTTCGAAAAGTGTCACACTGAGACCCCCAAACCTAGACTGATGGATACGGTTCATCCCTTGTTTCGCCGATGTTATGATATTTGACTGATGGATACGGTTCATCCCTTGTTTCGCCGATGTTATGATATTTGACTGATGGATACGGTTCATCCCTTGTTTCGCCGATGTTATGATATTTGACTGATGGATACGGTTCATCCTTTGTTTCGCCGATGTTATGATAATTGAATGATGAATATGGTTCATCCCTTGTTTTGCCGATGTTATGGTACTTGACTGATGAATACGGTTCATCCCTTGCTTCGCCGATGTTACGATAATTGAATGATGAATATGGTTCATCCCTTGTTTTGCCGATGTTATGGTACTTGACTGATGAATACGGTTCATCCCTTGCTTCGCCGATGTTACGATAATTGAATGATGAATATGGTTCATCCCTTGTTTTGCCGATGTTATGGTACTTGACTGATGAATACGGTTCATCCCTTGCTTCGCCGATGTTACGATAATTGAATGATGAATATGGTTCATCCCTTGTTTTGCCGATGTTATGATACTTGACTGATGAATACGGTTCATCCCTTGCTTCGCCGATGTTATGATACTTGATTGATGAATACGGTTCATCCCTTGCCTTGCTAAGTTGATGTGTTTCGTTTTGAAGGACTCCGGCTTTATTCATGCAAACCTTTATTTTTGGTACCATTTACTGAGTTTTTTACTCACCCCTCTATATATATGTAGGTGATGAGCAGGACGGCGGCGACGCCTAGATCGTTTGGATGCTTGTTTTGGATTCGTGCTTATGTCGGCTTTCCTTTTGTATTTACGTCGGCGATGCCCTGTTTTGCATGTCGGCAAATCTTGAAAATCATGCTTCTTGACTCGTATTAGCTGCATTTTGTATATGTCGGCTCGAGAAGCCTTTTGATCAAGATGTAACATGTATCTTTTTACCTTGTTGTATTTAAGTTGTAAAGTTAATTGGAATGTTTGGCATTGCTTTGATCTACGCACAGCTCTTATGGACCACTTGCATTTGATTTATTGCTTCCGCATTTGTGAGCCCCCTATATTCATACTCTGATTGTGTTAAGTTTTGAAAAGTTGGCCTTCGGTAATGACGGATTACTGGCCATCACGGCACCAAACTACTAGGGGCGGTTTGGGGTCGTGACACTCAACCACTACTATGTCCCCATGATTGCTTTTACTAGTCAATTCCAGCCTACTTCCTGGTGCCATATCGCTAGAACTTGCCAACTCAACTTCATCGTCTTTCTTCTCTACAGCCTGATTCTCAACAGTCTTATACCAATTAATACTAATTTTTTTAGATAGGTGAGAATCAATACTAATTTTAAATGTCTTTCAAATTTTTTTATCATCTTCTCATCAATCAAACACAAGAGGAACTTAATTATTAGATAACAATATTAAAATTTTGAAATATCATTTCTAAATCTAAGTTGAACACTAGGGAGTACATGCATTGGATGTGATTAGTATTTATTAAGTGAATGTCTTAAATAATTAGATAATTTGAGTAGAAATGATTTATTAATTTGAGTAGAAATGATTTATTATTCTATAATTTGCCAAAAATCGAACCAAAAAAAAATCCACACCTAATTTGTTTCAGTTTAGAAACACTCACCCTAAAGTTTGATGATAGTGACAAATCAAAATGAAAACTGTAATGATAAACTATTTTGTATAAAAAATTTGAAACAAAAGTCTCATAGAGAGAGAAAATTTAACCGTTAAAAATTTCAAATTAAAAAAAGGCAACAGTCTAATTCCATTTAATATTAATTCGAACAATGAAAAATCAAACTTCTCAATAATGTTTCCTTCTAATTAACAAAAATTAGAAAACACTATATAATATATTAGATTATTTTTAACCCAGACTCAAATCTTTTATCAAAGTTTAATTTGATAAAAATTTAGTGAAATAGTGTTCCCCCCATTTTACCAAATTAGTATACAATGAAGGGAATTCTACTTTTTCATCATATTAAGGGAGCGTTTAACTTTTCATCAAATCTCGCAAGTAATCGTTGGTGGACGACCGGATGGATGATCGACTGGTCAACTGGGTGAACGATCGGATTGGAGAAAATTTGAAAAAAATTTACATTAGGCCGAATGACTACCCCAGACATCCTCCCAGTCGATCGATTATTTCATAAAAATTAAAAATTTAGCGTTAAAACGGTTGGTATTAGATAAAACTTTTACTAACTCAAATCTATATTTAAATTTGATGGAAAAAAATAATAAATGTTGGAGATACTTTTAGACAACAAAATTGATTTGTATGATTTATTTTTTTTATTAATGTTGAGTTTGGTTGAGAGATTTGAGAAGGAATTTGCAAAGAGAAAAGAAAACGATAAGTGAAATGTAAATAAAATATATTTACTTTTTACCTAATTTTACACACTTTTTTTTTTTAAATCTCTTTCTAAATCTTCCAACCAAACACAATATAAGTTTTTTAAATTTTAGGATTTAGGTTTTATTTTACGTTTTTTTTTTCAGTAGTGCTACATGTACCAATTAGTGTTCTAACCCTACTTATGATATCATTATTGACTCTACTCATTAATCACATTATAAATATCAAAAATCTCTTAAATTATATCACATCATCAATTAGTATATTAATTAATTTATTAATTGATACATGAAAAATGAATGAGAGCACTAATTAGTGTCATCATTAATGATGTGGCAGCCTTGTTGTGTTTTTATTTCTTTTTTAAAAATAAATATCACGTCATTAATAATTGCTTTAGAGCACTACTTTTAACGGTATCTATCGTTGGCCTGGATACATAGAGTATTTTTTTTTTTTTTTTTATTTGAAATTTTTAGAATTATTTTTTTTTTTTTTTTTAATTGACTTTTTAATTTCATGTGCCCCCGAAAGGCCCTAACCAGTCGCTTCTCTCAGAGACTCTGCTGCGAAAATGGTGGTCTTATCCTGCGCTTACTCTGCTTATCCTGCGCACGCTGTCTGTCTCAGAGCTCACAGAGGCTTTTCTCCAGTGCGGTCGACCTCTCCAGTCTCCGTTTCTCATACCCATCGTCATCATGATCACCACCACCATGATCATCCCTTTGTCCCAGAGGTTATGCTAAACCCAAGAACTTTATTTATTTCTCAAAACCCTAAACTAATCCTATGTTTGGATGCCGAGAAAATGAACGAACGAATTGAGGAGGGTTTCCTCCCAAGTTCTGATGAAACACTGAATGAGCCTTGCAATTTGATTTAGAAATTGTTGAAAATGTCTATTTTTTGAAGTTTTCATAAGAGAAAACTAGCTTTTTTTTCCTGTAAAATAATAGAACTTTGTGTTTCTGTGGTTATAGTACTCTTGTAATTTGATGTAGGAATATTGTTGAAAAGTCCATATTTTAAAGTTTTTATGAGAGAAAACTGGTTTGTGTTTCTGTGGCTCTATCTAGTAGTCATTATGTGTTGTCCTTGATGCAGGTTGAAAAGGCAGTGGACTCCTTGTACGCGGAGTTCCGGGCCGTGGATAATCTAGTTGCGCGTAACACTGCCCGTGTTCTTAGGGCTTTCCAGAATGCCCGGGTTGGATCCCATGTAAGGATAATTAATTTGAAAATAATTTGCCAGTTGATATTTTGTTTCTATTTGGAAACTTGGGTAATGAATATAAATAAATTGTTGATTGTAGGCAGATATCTCCTAATAAGGTTGATGAATACGTGAATTCTCTGGAAATGTTACTAGATTTACTTTACAATGTATATTAGCCAATGCATTACTTGCATTCATATGACCTAAATGAACTTTAATTGAGTCTAATTGTGCCAAGGTATTGCCGATCGTGAAATCTACGCTTGTTAAGTGAGCCTGCTCAATAGTTTGTTTGAGCTTGGCTTGTTGAGAAATACTACTGTCATCGTCGTCGTCATCTTGTATGTGTACTAAAATCCAAAGAAAAGACAGTTGTTAAACAATGATCTTGGTTTCTGTGTGCTCAAGAATCATGCATGTGCTGGAATAGTGCTGTCAAATTTGTATATAAAATATTTTAGAAATTGAACTTTCTTTATTTTCAACTGTCTAAATCCTAATCATCACAATCATGTGTGCGTCAGCACTTTGGTGGTTCCACAGGCTATGGACACGAGGATGCTGGAGGACGTGAAGCCCTTGACCAAGCTTTTGCAGAAATTTTTGGTGCTGAATCTGCAATAGTTCGTTCACAGGTTCACCTCGTACTAATATATGTTTCTGTAATTCTATGGGAGCATGTATAAGCTGTTTAATATATTTTGCTCCTTCACCATCAGTTTTTCTCAGGTACCCATGCTATCTCATGTGCATTGTTTGCTTTTCTTAGGCCAGGGCATGAGGTGAGCTATCATTGTTATGTTGTTGCTTGTCATTGTCATTGTCAATTGAGAATCCTTATTTTTATACTAGCTTATGATTTATACTGATTTAATTTTCAGCTTTTGGCAGTTGTTGGTGCTCCATATGATACCTTGGAGGAAGTTATTGGAATTAGGGACTCTCATGGATTGGGTTCCTTGAAAGATTTTGGAGTGAAGTACCGTGAAGTGCCAGTAAGTAACTACTTCTGGTTCTAAATTATTGAATTTTTTGAGTTTATGTTTCCAAACTTTTCTCATAAAGATTATGATTCAGCTTGCCGAGGATGGTGGGCTTGACTGGAATGCACTTGAGGGTGCATTGACAGCTCAAACAAAATGTGCACTCATACAGAGGTCTTGTGGTTACTCATGGCGTCGTAGTTTAAGTGTAAATGAGATAGGGAGGGCAATCAAGATGATCAAGGTACAACTTATAAATATGCTGAAAGTATGATAAAAACTGTGGTCTTGTTCAAGTTGGGTCAGAAGTGGCCCCATTGCAACTTGGAGAAGCATGAGGATTTGGGTGTTATGGACATTCTCTCAATTCTCTCAATCCTCTCAATCTTGGTCATATAATTTTGGAGTCCACTTCATAAAAAAAAAAAAAAATGGTACTATTTTCAAAAGTCCTATTCGATCCATACTTTCTTTTTATTTGTCATTTGCTTTTTTCTTTGGCATAAATACATGAACCTCCATCTTGTTAATGTCATCAAAACTTGTTTCTGGACAGATGCAGAATCCGAACTGCTTGGTCATGGTTGATAACTGCTATGGTGAATTTGTGGAAAACATGGAACCTCCAATGGTGGTACGTAACATGTGTCTTGTTTCTTTTGTTTGGAAAAAAAAAATGTTAAAGTTGTGTTGTTTATGTTTTGCAGGGTGCAGATCTAATTGCAGGCAGTTTAATAAAAAATCCTGGGGGAACCATTGCACCCTGTGGTGGATATGTTGCAGGGAAGGAAAAATGGGTTAAAGCAGCAGCTGCTCGTCTATCTGCACCAGGGCTTGGGATTGATTGTGGCTCAATCCCTGGTGACATAATGCGTGCATTTTTCCAAGGGTTATTCCTTTCACCTCAAATGGTCGGGGAAGCAATCAAGGTGCCTAATTTGCATTTTTAAAATTTATGGTGTTTTTTGTTACTCTACCAGGCCATGTTGATTTTCTTATTATCTGTTACAAGGGAAGCTTCTTGATTGCTGAAGTCATGGCAGCTAAAGGGTATAAGGTGCAGCCACTTCCTCGGGCACGCCGTCATGATACCGTACAGGTTTGTTTTATTAGCCCATTGTCTTCAAGAGGAATTCATTATAAGCTGAGTGCAATGATTTTCATTTTCAATTTGGATGTTGATCCAAATTTTGCTTTTTATGAACCCATTGGCCAATTATTATCATACTATGGTAATGTTGTTCCATTTAATAGTACCTATTCTTGGTGCTTTCCTTGTGGCAGAATTATAAACGTGAAATGATCATGTTGCTAGATGCTGCTTTTCAGGCCGTACAGCTTGGATGCCGTGAGCGTCTCCTTGCTTTCTGTGAGGCTGTACAGAGAAGCTCCCCAGTTGGTTCTTTCACCAAGCCCATTGCGGGTTCGACTCCTGGATATGCATCTGAGGTTTGCGTATGTTTGGCTTTATTATCATTTATATTAACTCTTGGGGGATGAACTTTTTCTACTTCACTTTTTCTTTTTGAAATAATATGGCAACTTTAGGTGTAAGTTTTGTCCCCAAAACAGATGCTGAATTTTATAATCCTCAGGTATATATACATAGATGGCACAGGCACAACTAATGCTTGATAATTGACAGTTCATGGAGCTGTAGGAACAGGGTACCACCATGTGCTAGCAATTTCTCTCTTTTTTTCAACATCATCATCTCCTTTTCACCTCTGCTGCCTCTTTTTCTTCTCTCATTCTTTTGAAAAATGAGCTAAATTTTGAGGAAATATGGAACAAATTCACAACTGCACGGAAATTGGTTTTGGTATAGCATGAGGTAGAGCCACATATAATCAATCATCAGTTACAGAAGGGCCTTCTATGGGTACCTCATGAATCCGAGGCATATGGGATCAATTCTTCACAGCTCTGTGGTTTGAACAATAAAATTTGCCTCATGGATTGGGTTCTCTGCGTCTTTTTTTTATTTTATTGATATGTCTCTCGTCTCATGGTTATGATTCTGATTGATAACATGCTTTTCCAAGGCCAATCCTAATTTTGCATGATAAATTATTTGTGATTCAGGTAATCTTTGCTGATGGAACCTTCATTGATGGCAGTACAAGTGAGCTCTCATGTGATGGACCACTAAGGGAGCCTTTTGCTGTGTATTGCCAGGTGTGCTATCTGTGGTGTCATGTTGTCTTTGCATTTTATTGATAGAGTTTAAGCCCTACTAATTTATAGGATAAAAGGCCTTGATCAAAGGCCTCTTGAAATCTTGAACTTCCTACAGCATATTACTGGCAATAATCCATTTAATAAAATTATTGGCCATTAACCAAATTAAATAAGGGGGTGTTGTTTGCACTCCTCTTTTATTCTTAACTCATTCACTTTTGTTTTGATTATCCCAATTTCCAATTTTTCCCTTCAACGATTTCAATTATTTTCTGTGCCAAGTCAACAACTATATAACTTGTTTGTGCACAAGAAATGATATTGAGGGGAAAATTTGTCTTTTTGTAATTCCCCCAAAAAGTGTAGTGCGGGAGGATAAAAAAGCAGTGTGAATAAAACTCCGTGATATATATATTGGTATTGGATACTGAAATGCATATTTGCTTGAATTTTCTCATTAGGGCGGCACCCATTGGACACAGTGGGGACTAGTTCTGATGTACCCATTAACCAAATGAAATAGGGGGGTGTCGTTTGCACTCCTTTTTTATTCTTAACTCATTTCACTTTTGTTTTGATTATCCAAATTTCCAATTTGCCCTTAAACAATTTCAATTATTTTCTGTGCCAAGTCAACAACTATATAACTTGCTTGTGCACAAGAAATGATATTGAGGGGAAAATTTGTCTTTTTGTAATTCCCCCAAAAAGTGGAGTGCGGGAGGATAAAAAAGGAGTGTGAATAACACTCCCTGTGATATATATATTGGTATTGGATACTGAAATGCATATTTGCTTGAATTTTCTCATTAGGGTGGCACCCATTGGACACACTGGGGACTAGTTCTGGGAGATGTATTGAAATCTATATAATCTAAGACTAATCATAGAAATGAAGCAAGGTGTTTTATTGATATGCTTCCAAGTTCCAACAATAATGTCATTGTTTGAGTCTTCTCACAAAGACTTCCAATTTAGCCATTCAATGGTGGCAAGAATGAAAGGAAACCTCAATGAGATTGCTAATGCTTGTTAAGTAGGGAGGGGAAGAAGGTGGCATCAAACTCAACGCAATTTTGAACCCAAGGTGACAGATAATTCTCTTCTCTCTCTCTCTCTGTTTTTTTTCTTTTTTCTTTTTTTTTTAAAGTCATTACAACCATATGAACTACTTTAAGGTTGTAAAGTTTCAACTGGTCTGTGTTTTTGGGACATAGAAATGAACTAATGTACTTTTGTATTGATGTGAATCTGAATCTGATTGACAGCACACAATACATTTATAACATGTTTGATTCTTAATTGTGTAGGAATGCGGCTACTCTCTGAAGTTATGTGGAGAAATTAAGGATTTCGGAACTACAGGTGGCAGACACAGGTTCTTACAGTAGCAGTTTTATCTATTTATTTATTTATAATTTTTGTAACCCTGGTTGAATTGGGTTTTGTCAATGCAAGGTGTACCCTCTGCTTAATTTTGTATGCGCCGATTGATTACAGAAACTGTATTTTTTTGGTTGGTTGGTTGGTTGGGCGGCTTGTTATATCAATTTCAGACAGTTTCAGTGGATTTCAACCATTTTTGCTTCCTAAAGTAGCAGGTGTGTGACTCACCAACACCATTTTTTGTGTGTAGATTATGATTGTATCTATCCAGAAAAATAAGAAGGGAAATCAAAAGAAACAAAGAAAAAAAAAAAAAGTCCACCTACTGCAATGAACATGAATGAATTGGTAAGGAAGTTGCTCCTCTGTGTTGGGAATGTTTGTTATAGTTTGTGGAATCTAAAACATCTCTCCCTTAACTTCTAGATTTTTTTGCAATTTATTTAAATTATTTTTAGTGCAGAAGTCATAGTCTAACACAGAACAGAATCCTTAAAAAAAAAAGAAGCCACAATAACGTTTTTGTTTTCTATTTTCATGTTTATAATTTTTAGAAACTAAAAATGAAAACTTGTTTAATATATTATTTTATTTTTAAAATTAATTTAAAATAAAGTGATTGAACTTGTTTTCAAAACAAGTTTATACTGTTTCCTTCTTCCTCTACCACTTTCGGCCACTCTTAACCTTTGACATCGTTAGTCAGCTCCAATAAGTTTCGGCAATTGGACAATCACCACCTGTGACCTCTACTAACTCCTGGCCACCCTGACAGTTGGCCAACCTCCACTTCTAGCAGCTACTTCTAATAACTCATTAAACATATTTTATGTCTTAAAAATATTTTTATAAACTAAACAAAATTATGAGAATTTTTTTTTTTAAAGTTCTTGATATTAAGATTTTATAAAATAAAGGACATATAATATTTTTATAATAGTTGGAATCTTTTAACATTTTCAAAGAGAAAATTTGACACAGAAAAATTTCGTCCGATACAGAGAAATTTCAATTTTTACAAAGAAATTAAGAAATTTCAAAAAGTTTTGTGATTTTACAAATTTCTCTGATATGATCACAGAGAAATTTCATCGAAAAATCTTAGTTAACAAAAAAAACATGTTGAATCTCTCCTACTACTCAAAGTTAGGGAGTGATATTTCACTAATTTTTTCTAAATTTTTATTTCTTATATTTCATAAAAATAAAAGAAAAAGTATTTCTTAATTTTACCAACCATAAACAAAAAAAACTACAACATCTTAACAAACGCCAGCACTGTCGTGCTAGAAAGTACTCACTCACGTTTGTTAACCAATGGTATGTTTTTTTTCCTGGGAGTTTTACTTCATATTATGGTGCATTGGGCATTTGTTTGAGAATTTTGTGTTTTTAAAAATTTCTTTTTTAAAGAATTTTTTTTTAAATTATCTTTTCAATTAAAATTCTGTGAGGTGATGTGATAGATCAAAATTTTTTTAGGTGCAAAAATATGGATATGGTCCCTCAATATTCTGAGTGTATTTATAGAAAATTAGATTGCATCTGCGTGGGAGTTGAAACTAAGATTTCACATCTACTCTCAACGTTAAAAAATAAGAATTTTTTTTTTTAAGGTCTTTGATATTCAAATTTTATAACATAAAGGATATTTAATATTTTCATAATGTCTAAGGTCCCTCAACATTGATCCAGAGAAATTTCAATCTAGAGAAATTCTCGACTTTCCAAAGAATTTTTCATGGTTCAAACCAGAGAAAATTCAAATTTTTCTGAATTCAAACCAGAAAAAATTGAACAACACAGAGCAAATTAAACCCAGAAATCCAAAACCAGTAATACAAAACCAGAAATCCAGAGAAAATTCACACAATTTCCACATCCAGAGAAAATTTTGATCCAAAGAAATTCTAGAAAGACTAGAGAATTTCTCTGATGTTTTGATACTGGGTTCAATGTTGTTTGCTAATGTGGTTGAGAGAATTTTATCTGGATCAAAATTTCCTTTGTATTTTTGACTGAACCAGAGAAAATCCCTTTAAAACCCACATTAAATCCGTTTCAATACAACCACTACAATTCAATTCAAGCTCCTTCAATAGCAACAATGGTATATAGCAAAACTATAATACAAAACCAGAAATCTAGAGAAAATTCATACAAATTCCACATCCAAAGAAAATTCTGATCCAAAGAAATTCTGGAAAGAGTAGAGAATTTCTCTGATGTTTTGGTACTGGGTTCAATGTTGTTTGTTCATATGGTTGAGAGAATTTTCTTTGGGTTAGAATTTTCTCTATATTTTTGATCGAATAAAAAAAAAATTCCTTTAAAACCCACATTATGTGAAAACCTGCATTTAATTATTCTAAAAATAATATAAAAAAAATTAATTACTTAATTTTATCCAAAGTTTAGTTATATTAGTGCATAGGTTAGTTTTAAATTAACCCAATCAATCACTAACAAAGATAATATATATATATATATATAATAAAAATTTTGTGGGTGTTCAATATTTGTTATTTATAAATTACTTTAATAAAGATCCAACATGATAATTATTCTTACTAAATAGCTTAATTAAAAATTTTAGTGTATCAAATTTAAGAAACCCACATAAATACACAAATATATACACAAAAAAAAAAAAAAAAAAAACGAACAATTTCAAAATAGCTTAATTAAAAATTTTAGTGTATCAAATTTAAGAAACCCACACAAATATACAAATATATATAAAAAAAAAAATTCGGCAGATTTCAAGTGGCAGCATTGCCACTTGGTTCCATGCATGGTGGTATTTGGAAATTGAAAATTTGACTACATAGAATGGAGAGAAAGAGAAAGAAAGAAAGAAAAAGAGAGGGAGAGAGAGTGAGAGAGCGGGGATGCTCAGCAAATGCATTGTATATTTATACATGCATGCCTGCATATGGTGAGGAAGGAAAAAGAAGAGGACAACTGCAAAAAAAAAAATAAAAAAAAATAATTAAGTCAAGTTGAGTAGGAGGATAAGAGAAGGAGGGGATTAAGAAGGATATATATATTTTCTACCATTTCATCGTTCCATTTTAATCCTACAACTAAGTAAGAAAATCCTCTCAACCCTCTCTTTTTCTTTTTTTTTATATATTTGAAATTTTTAGATTATATACATATGATAAAATGTCTAAACTTGTAGATAGAATTTTATTTATAATTGTATGAAAATTTATGATGGTATACCAAATATTGGTAGTCTGAAAATCATGATAATATTGTGAAATTTGGACTTGCATGTGTAGTTTATGCCATTAAAAAAGATTATTGAATATGTTATTTGGCCCTTTAAATCTGTCAGAAAGTTGTACGAATTTTTAAATAATTTTATACTCAAAATTTGAAGATTATTTCTTCTACAAAATTGTTGATAATGATGTCTAGTTCATCCACAAAATTTTTCAACAATTATTGAGTTTTGTACGAATTTATACAAATTATTAACCAAATCTGGAGCTATAGGCAGATTTTATTATGTGTTTGAAAAATCATTAAAACTTTTATATTAAACCAAATCTGATAATTTCTAAGCAAAAAATCAAATTTGAGAAGTATAGTTTCATAATAAATTTTTAGATTTATAAATTTAAGTATGGAATTAATTTAAGAAAATGTGATAAATCTGTGTCATAAACACTCTTGGAATTTTTAAGAATTATTTATAATTTATTTTTGGAAAATGCTTTAT